CGTCCCAGCGTGGGGAGGGCGGCGGCCGGGGTGGTGTGGGGGTGAGGGGGGAGCCATGGCGGGGCAGGGGACAGGCTGGAGGAACCGGGGGGGCCTGGCGCCTTCCCCTTCCCCCTCCACTTCTCCTTGGCACTGGGGAAGGGTGCGTGGGGATGACCCCGGGTTAAGGACTTCGCTTAAGGACTGAAGTGACTAAAGCTGTACTGCAGCTGAGACTCGCCCGTCATGGCTTTGTTTAATGCACAAAATGACTAACGCTACTTCAGCCAAGAATTTCCCACGTAATCCGGATTTCAGGTAAGAGGAAAGCCCTTAGAGGTTAAAAAGGCAGGTTTTCTACGTCACGTCATGCTCTGTATGACCAAAAGAGACTTGACTGCGTGAAACGGCTTTGAAGGAATCGAATTCCAAAAATGGTTAATTCCTCTGCGTTCCCCGGCCTGCGTATGCTTGGCATGTGCTCCTGTGGAAAGCGGAGTGTCAGTGAATGAGCAGGATCCCGTCAGGCGATTGCGTGTGTGGTGAGGGAAAATTGGAGCGAGCTTGGCAACCCTGAGCAGGGACTGAATTGGACTCTAAACTGAACTGTGTAAAACGCATCAGGCAGTCAGGCTGGCTAATGTATGAGGAGGCATTATTGCTCTACAGATTATCCCAGGAAATGCCTTGGGAAATTCTTGACCCAAAGAACGAGATAGCTGCAGAACTGTGTATATTAGGGTAAAGCCAAAATGATTGTCTGCCCTTTTAACTTAAGAGATAGAGTGTATGATCTGAAGTAGGCCTCTTTATTTTATAATGATTCATAGAAGAAAACCCTCAAGTGTCTCAAGATAAAAAGCAGAGAGAGAAAAGAGTTTATGATAATTATGAGAGCTCCGCCAGGAAAAAAAAAAAAAAGCAAGGGAGAGAGCAAGAAAGAGATGTTGACTGATCCTCCCTGGACAGGTTTAATTGACATGTTGTTGTAATTCTTAGCAGTCAGCCCACTAAGCCCTTTCTATACCAGTGAGTTTCTCTGATGGATTGTCTCATGGAAGCCAAAGGGTCTGTTGCTCATGTGAGCTTGTGTCTTGGAGCCCGGGGTGTTATGATCAAGCTTTTCTTCATGTCGCAGTAAGTCAAGCCAAGGTTAGATTTGAAAGGCAGTGAGAGAACCTCAAAAGTGTTTTTACATTAAGTGAGAAGCTTGGGGCAGGCAACCAGGAACCATCCACTTCAAAATGAAAAATAAAATCCAAAATTTATCTCTTACTTTATCCAAGGGTGTGTGTGGATGAATCCGTAATCTTTTATCGGAACACTCCTGCTCGATGAGTATTGTGAGATTTTGTAATTTGGACCCTCTTTAAATTTTAAAGAATGCCTTTGAAACACCAATTCAACTTTGAACGATCTGATTACACTAGAAATACACCACTGTGATTGAGGTCAAAATGTGACCCATAATTTCAGCACATCCTACACATCTAGGTTCAAGTTCTTACCACAGTGCGCAAACCTAGCTTTGTTGACTTCTGTGGAGCTAATACCAATTTACACCCTTATAGCTGATGCTGGAATTTGACACTTAGCTCTGCTCTAGTGGGCAAGAGATGACTGACTTGTTGAAACACTTTTAGTGGAATTTACCTGTTGTCATTTGGATGTGTTCAAGAATGTGAGCTCTGTTAAAACTGGTAGTCAGGGCTCAGGAGCGCGTGGATGTTTTATGTGATTAATCAGTCATTCACTCTCTTGCCCTGAACCCTGGAGTCACATCCTTTCCTTGCTTTCTCTTGAGTTTGGGGTCCTTTTTTATTTTCATTGAATATTAGTTGCAGAATATGTTTACAAGTCCAAAGCTTCTTAGTGTCTCTTCATTTGAGACTGCAAAAAAAAAAAGTAGTTGGAAAAAAGTAATGGATATACAGTAAGTATTTGGGAGAACATTGGTAATGGTTTCACTTCTGTGACTGTAAATGTGGTCTCACTCCATTGTAGTCATTGTCTCAGACTTATTTAATATGTTCATGATGCCCTCAGAATTTGAATAATTAATTTCTATTGCAGTATTAATTTAATTGGTGATTTATCCAGAATTAATTTGGACTCTTGCAGTTACTGTGCGCAGAATAATTTTGCTTTCTGTGTAAAGCCTATAGTGAAAAATGTCAGAGCTTTTTATAAACTCTTCATTGACTTGAAGAAACAGATTAATTTTCAGTGGGAGGGGTGGGACCGACATATCGACAAGAGTATGGTTTCTGAAGTGCTGATGTTGGAAACAAAAACTGAGGAAATGTAGACCTGGACCTTCAACTTGTCTGAGCTCTGTAATAGCTCACATTTTATACTAGTTGAGATTATTTTGCTTCCTTTTGGCAGTCAGTATCCCTCTTCTCAGCAGAAAGCTGAAGAGCAAAGTGAATGCGATATCATATCATATCGTATCATATCACAGAGTGTTTCATGTCCATAAGCATAATGGTAAGGTACAACAAAGAAGACCAAATCTGCTGCGATAACAATATGCAAACTAAAAAAAAAAAAAAAAAGAATCAATCAGTGTGGTTTCAAGTATGGTTTGATTCTAGGGCAAATCACAAAGAAATACGAGGTTGCTATAATAGATGAAGTGAACTTTTCTCTAGATAAGACCTTCTGTCTAGAATCTCTTTATAATGTTATCCCCTAGCACACCGAAAAATATTTTTTTTTTCATTTAAAGTTACATAAATAGAAAAGGGAACCTTAATAACCTATGCTGAAACTGTAATTTAGGGGTAATAGGACAGACAATGTACATTGGAGTGTTGCTACTGAAATGCATGGTATTAAAACAGTTTATCTGATGTTTTATTCACATAGAAGGAAAGCTTTAAAAATATACAACATATCTTTTTATAAAGGTATAAAGTACATGAATATAAATGTATAAATGTATAAAATATCAACTTCATGGCACAGCATTGAAGATACAGAAAGTTGGGTTGTTTATTATTATAATTTTACAATTTAGCACAGATCTAAAAAGTTTTTATGATGCACGAAATTCCTGTGACTTGCTTTTGGTGGAATTCATTTTGCCTACCATCTTAAAGGTAGACTTTTAGTCCAGGTTTGCTGGTTAGGTGATTCCTCTGTTAAATACAGTCTTCAGAAGACCTCATTTATTTTAGGATGATATGAATCCCCTCCTGGAGGTGCTCTGTGTTTCCTAAAGAAACAGCTAACTGGTTTAGTTTTAGTGGCTAAAGTCAGATGAGGAGGATCTCACCGTTTATGACTTTCTGTGGCATATCGTCAGGTGGCGTTTATTGTGCTATCATTAAGGAAGCTAATGGTTAGCTCCCAGAAGAGATGTGAATGTAGGTCATAACCCTTCCCCTCTGGGTGGAATCCAGGACATCGTTGTATGGCAAATCTGTGTCATGTCTATGAAAGAGTCATTCTACATAAATTACAGTTAAAAAATATGTTCGTGCATGGTGCATATGTGCTTAACAAGGATACCCTGCTTATCAGTGGTCTTTCTTTG